CTGGAAACAAAAAAAGTAAAAAAACGCGCAAGTTTTGTTTCATGGTCTTTTGCTCCGAATGACAAGCGACCTCCTGACCTACAAACTGAGACTCTAACCTGCTGAACCGAAACAATTTTTAGAAGCGGGCGGTGCTTCTACGAAGTGGGTGGAGCTTCTCATAGTGGGCGTAGTCCTCATAGAGGGCCCAGAAATATGAAAATTTTGAAGAAATATCAAACTTAGCAAAAACACGTAAAAGTTGGCGTGACTAGATGGGAGGAGCTTGATACGCCAGCGCGTATAGTCTTTGAGTACTTCCGTTCTGTGAAAAGGGAATGTGAAATCAACAAAGTTGAAAAAAGCTATAAAAATTTGAAGTCTGCCATGAATTCCTCAATAGTTGGCGGAGTCGAACTTGTCATGTACTGTCCTTTTCAGCAGGTGTATATGTGCGAAATAACAAAAGTGCGGAAAAGTCACAGAAGCAGAAGTTATAAAATGAAATTCGAAGTTTTGTGACCGCACCGAAGAGTGGGCGTGGCACTCGGGGTGGGGCGTGTGGTGCTGCGAGCGCGATTTGGTTGACTTGCTCGTTCTAAAAGTATGGTGAGTTTGATTTAGAACAGGGTGGTTTTTGGTTTGAAAAGTGGTGAATTCAAAGTGAATTTGTATAAATGAGGACTTTTAACGAGACACACCCATCCATAAGCAGCGCGTCCAGTGTCGTTTCACCAGTCTCATCAGGAGAACCACCATAGCCAACAGTTGTATCGCACTGAAGACGTTCACATGCAGACAGGCCTTCAACGAGTGCGTAGAGCCGACCGCCGGACAGCGCATTCACAGCTATAAGTGCTTGTGTACTTTCGGATGTAAAATTATGCTGTATGAAAAAAAATGAGAAGTTAATGTCTACTTTAAGGGATCATATATGAAAACACTATTAATATTGAATGCTGAGATTCCGCTGTTATCAGCAGCACTACGCTAACGTTCATGGGCGACTTTACGGGAGTGAATACCGTGCTTGTACTGGGTGCACTGCGATACTTTGAGCTGTTGTTTGCTGTTGAACTGTTGTTCTGAAAAGTAACAATTAACATCCAAGAGCTGGCCCTTGACTACTGTACAGTGTTTTCAAGCACTAGCTTCGCTTAAGCTTTTGGAGCTCAAAAGAAGGTGTACGCTTTTTTGAGGACCGCTCTTGCCACATGCGGAAAGAACGAATTGGCATTGTACAAATGTAGCACTTTTGTCATTTGAGAGCGGGCAGAAAGGATGCTGAATTGGTAGAGATTCCCGCCTGCCGTCTCTCGACTCCGCCTGCGCTGTCTTCAAAGTGCGGCACCTGCGTCATACTGGAATCCCGCCGCCAACACGCAGTGAGAGTACGCAGACAAGCAGCGCATTTGACTATGGTAGGCGTGTGACTGACCGTACGGCAGAGGAACCGTCATCCGGGTGTTACTACTTTCCAGTCTCCTCCCTGTGCATATTTGAGTGGAGAAAGCGGTACGCTACGCAGCTGCGGATCCACTCACCTCGGCAAGCTTCTTCGCAAAAAAGTACCGGGGGATACTCTGTGATAGATACCCTAAGGGCCAGTCTAATCTAAGTGGTTAGTCGTGGTTGAGTTCATTCATTCTTGTAGACATCGGAAAGCGTTCTTGGCAGGCATATAGATAAGAGTATGTCTCAAGGAGAAAACCTGCCTGTCGAGCCGAAATCAGGAAGGCCTCTGAGAAAGATTCCGCTGTGTTTCTGAAGGTACTTCAAAGGAATGCTGCTTTATACTGATACTGATACAGCAGTAATAGTCCTTAGTCATCCTAATAAACTTCAGAAGATCGTCGACGTCAAGCTTGAATTCGTTTAGGAGGTATCATTCTTCCCCTTCTCCACGACAGGGCGCACTCGCACTCGGCGAAGAAGAGATGTCAAAAGTTTATTTGCATCCTTCTCAGGTCCTTAATGCATGCCCCAGAGAGCAGAAAGTTGATGATCAACGTTGACCCGATAACGAGCTCGATCGCCCTTCTCATCGCTGTTGTTGCACGTCTGACAGCGGGATGGCTATCGGATCGGAGACGAGTCCCCGATACTGATAGGAACTGCCTTGCTGGTTGAAGGCATGAGGCGGCACAAATACTTGAATTCCGTTCAAGCTGCCGCTGTACCGTTTGCCCAATTAGTGGCATTAAACTCACTCCGAACAAGAGGAGTTTGCCGCTCATTTCTCAGTGTGGAACACCTATAGGAGGACGTGCTGCCCAGAACAGAAAATGGAATAATCCGGAAGTGTGGCGTCCGAATGCGCCGGTAGTGTCCAGCCTGATTTGCTGGTCTTTTTGAGGACAATCCTAAAAACATGAGGCTGCCATGGAGAAACTCGGTTTGAGGGGCGATCTTCACTTGTTGGCGTAGGACAACCATAAATGGTGAGTGCCCAGGCTCGTGTTCAGTCGCTGGAGCGAGGAGGTTTCTACTCAATGTGGGAAGCTTTTTTTAATAATTCGTTTTTCCCGTTTCACATGAGCTATACCACCGCTCCCCCGCTCGACGGCAGTTCTTTTTAGAAAACTGGAAAAATCCTCGGAAAATAGGGAAAAAGTGCTAGGATTGGAGAAAGTTAGGAAGATGATAGGTAGCATGCAGAAGGGTGGCGGGAGTGTTGGTCGCACCAGAGGAGGAAACATTATGGGGTGGGGGGAACGGTCGCAAAATCACTCTGCTCAAATTTCTCTGAGGCCTTGATTGCTGCCTTGTCTGCCATTCATTTCCTTGTCACTTTTGTAAACTACAAGAAAAGTGGCTCTTTGCAACAACCTGTTTCTGCTGGACATTTTTTGTATATTTTCTGAGACGGCGATTAATAGCGATTCCATCGATTTGTTGCAGAGGTTTTCTAAACGTAGTTCCGGTTTCTAGCGAACCACTACTATTGAAGGTGTCCTCTAGCTTACCAAGAACTTGAATAGGGGAACGGGAGAAGAGAATTGGGGAACGGGAGAAGAGAATTGTAATATGCCACGTTAATGGGCGTAGCGAGAAACGCCGCGCGCGACAGACGAGTTGTCCTGCCTGTCGGTTTGAAATGAAAATTAAAGGAACAGGACAGGATCTATATCGCTCGTCATGGAGTCTTGTCTACGTCTGATTCATATAATTTCTGCTTCTCCTAATGAGAAGGTGGTGCATATAGAGTATTTACATCCCTTTGCCGCACGATACGCCGCGCGCGACGATGCGGCAAATAACTGGTTTCTTGTCCGTCTCAACTTGAATGGAGACCTGTGCATTCGGGTGATGTGACTACTTACTCGAACTTGTTGTGCATGATCTTGTAGCGAAACCCTGTATGGAAACAGCTAGATGCCAAAGCACCGAAGGGAGCAAAACACTTGTAGCAAAACGGGAACGGCTTTCTCCCAAGTCAACTCGTACTGCGATGCGGCTGGGAAGTAACGCTCCACACCCATATATAGCGATGGAGTCTCTTGTACAGCTCACAAGTATGGGGACCAACGGGACGAAAATTACTACCTGCATCTCACAGGAGCATAAGGAGGCAAAGTTTGCGATGGTATGTTTTACCGGTTTGTTTCATGACAGCGGGAAATTTTTCGCCTTGTCTTCTATTAGGTTGTCGCATAAGTTCTTATACACGACTTTTTTGTAAATATCTCAAAAACGAACCAGCCTGGAGATTAGAGGTATGCACCATCACCATTCACTACTCGACGCCAGCGCTCAGGCAGCTTGTCGAATTCCACTCGCTTCAGACAGACGAGGCTCCGGATGAAGAAAGTCGTCGAAGCGCCTGTTCTGACGGACTGATCCTTTGTTCGAACTTTTTTCCGTCCAGATAGCGCTGCAGGTAGCTGAACAGCCAGTAGTCGAAGGAGCGAGGTAGCGAGGTCAGGGCTGTAGGGAGGGTGGGCGACCATCAGCCATCCATACTTCTCCAGCTCGGCCTGGGTCGCCTTTGCAGTGTGAGGTCGGGCGTTGTCATGGTGGAAGTAGATTTCCGCATTCCTTCCACGAGTACGGTCGACGTGATCTTTCAATTTCCGCAGCTGGGTCCTGTATGTGGGAAACGTCAATCGTCTGTCCCTTCTCCAGCACTCCCGAGTATCCATCCTTTTCCTGGACACCAACAGGACAGGAGAACCTTTTGGGTGAAGGTCGGCCTTTGAGGTGGCTTCTGGCTGTTCTCCTTTGTCGATCCACTGCCGCTTCCTCACAGGGTTATCGTAGAGGACCCACTTCTCATCTCCAGTGATCATCGAGTTGAGAAAGTGAAGCCTCTTTTGGAAAGTGAGGAGAGAAGTGCAGGTGGTCACCCTCCTCGAGAGGTCATAAGCGGACAGTTCATGTGGGACCCATCGACCAAGTTTTCTAGCTTTTCTAGTCCACGTGCAACCGTCGAATGATCATAGCTAAGCATGGTCGCCATTTCTCTGGTGGTGAGGTACGGGTCCTCCTCCACGGTGGAACGTAGTACTTCCAAATCCAACTCCATCGGCCGACCCGACCTCGGAGCATCTTCGAGAGAAAAGTCTCCTTTCTTGAATTTGGCGAACCAATTCTTGCATGTCATGTAAGAGATGACGTCCTCACCGTATGTATCCACCAGCTTGGTATGGGCTTCCTTTGCATTCCAGCCGAAATCGTGGAGCAAAACCAAACAGTGGCGCAGGTACGTTTTGTCACAGTGCAAATTGTGCGACATTGTGTACTGCAAATGCAAGCTCGGTGAGTGATAGCTAGTGTAATGAAAGAGTATAATGTACACGTCACGCACACGTGATGACGTAATACCAACATCCATGCGAACGAAATAGGAGAGGATCAAACACGTGTATAAGAACTTATGCGACAACCTAATACAGAGGCACGTCCCCTTTTCAGTCTTTGACGATGTAGGAGCCAGGACACGTTATGACGGTAACTTTCTTGCATCCTCTACTGTTACGAAGAGATGTTTCAAACAAATTGTATGAGATAGGAATAAATCGAAATCGCCCCAATACTTCTAACTTTTTGGAAATAGCATTCAGAAAAGCTAATGATCTGCAATGAATGAACGAACGCCATGAGAAATTGTCAGCAACTGCTGTTGAAAAATGCTAAGGGAACTGGAATTCTATAAGTAAATGTTACTCTAAAAGCAAGGAAGAAGTTAATACCCAGATAAACCCTAAATGAACATGAAAATTAACTTGGAATTAATTTATCCTACCCATTTGATTGGCTTGCTGATAACCGTTGGTGGCCCATGTGCTGACGACCAAAGGAGTCGAACAGTAGCAACCAAAAAATAAACTGACGAAAAAGACGATGAACATCATAGCGGAAGTAGCCGGAGTTCAAGCTGCTCTTTTGATACCAAGGATAATGTCCAGTGACCTTGAACTAGCAGCCTGATCGATCTGTGTGGGTGTGCTGTAATGGAGGTTATCTTGTGTTCAAATGATTGATGGTTCGATAAAGGAAACCGAATGTATCAAGTAAATCTTGTAGAGATGAGAGCAAAGTTGCCTGAACGTTGATCAGTACTTTGCACGACCGAGCTGTAATTACAGTTGATCATGCACATTAAGCAGCTTCCCTTACCAAGATTTCCTTCTCAACTTGCATCCCACGACTCCCTATTTCTTATGTCATCTGGCACATGATTACTGCCACAGTTTCAGGCAGTAAGCCCCACTACAACGGTTTTTTCTCGGGGTTTTTTTCTCGAGAGATCAACTGAGTAACAGCTCTTTCTTTTTCGATTTCACAGAGGGGACTCCGGTATAGGCAGCGGTTTTAGTCAAAGTTTGGAGATAAAAAGCCTGCTCAAGTGGATCCTTAGTGAATGGGCCGTAGCTCAAAGGCGTGCTCCCTTCTTGCCTTGAAATTACACGGGAACAGGGCTTTAGGGTGGTAGCACGATGCCATTTTGAGTCCCACCCGCTATCCTATAATGTGCCCGATGCCCCATAGCGAGCAACAGGAATGGCAGATCTCCTGCCGCGACCAAGTGCAGAGAACCAGGAACGTAGAAGAGCGCAGACAAGTAGCGAGCGTGACTACAGCTACACATAAGCCTTGTCGGGTGGCGCGTAGCATCCGCTGATAGGCCAAAGGGTGCAGTCCAGATCGGCACATGGCTAGCATTATCCTCCAGTCCGTTTGCCGAGCACTTTTTGAAGGAAAAATGGCGCGCTAATGCAGCTGTGAAGCCACTGTTGGCATATGGCAGGGAACAGGATCCACGAATAGTTTCATACAGTTTGTCTCCAAGAAAAGGGAAGGCTGAGGGCGCTCTACAAATGTTCGTTAGCTGCCTCGTACCCTAAAAGTGATTTTCAT